GGTGGGGTGGGGTGGGGTGGGGTGGTGGTTATTAGTTGGGGTGAGGTAGGGCGCCCCAATTTCATTGCCACGTCTTCCTTCTTCTCCAGCGCTTTGAGTTGCAGCTGGACCGTTTTGGCCCCTACCGGCTGAGTTACACACGGAATGGCAGGTGAACGGCCGCGGGGGCGTTGCAGAGGGTCTCGGACCATGGAGGTTGGAGTTGCCTGTGCTCTTTCCCCTCATCCCTGGGTGTGTTCCTACCCTCAGGCATCTCCTCCTTGGGGGGCGCCGGGGCCATGTGGCAGCTCTGGACTGGCACACAAAGTCCCTGATGTGCGAGATCAACGTTATGGAGACTGTCACGGATCTCACGTGAGTGCCAGCAATGTCCCCGTTGGCGCAGCTTAGTTGCCCCAGCTCTTAGTTGCCCCCTCAGGTGGGAACTGGGGAGTAGGGAGGGAGGGTACCAGGGTTTCCCCAACCAGCATGGCCAGTGAGTTCCCCTCTTAGCGTGGTTCCACTGCAACAGGTGGAAGTCCACAAGGGTCACAACTTGTGGGAGTTGCAAACCACAACCGAGGGCTTGTGTTTGGCTGGGGCTTTTGTGCCCACGCACCCCCCCTCACAAAGGAGCCACTGGGCTTCTGGGGCAGATGGGCCCCCCGCACTTTCCACCCTGTGCATTGCAGGTGGCTGCACACCGAGACCATGTTTGCCGTGGCCCAGCGCAAGTGGCTGTACATTTATGACAACCAGGGGGTGGAACTGAACTGCCTGAAACGCTTCCATGCCGTCCAAAGGATGGAGTTCCTCCCATACCACTTCCTGCTGGCCACAGCGGTGAGCAGGAGCCCTGACCAGCCGTTGGGCCCCCAAGGAGCGAAGCTGCTGTGCCATGGCTCTCCTGGGGCCCAGCAAAGGCCACCTCTCGCCCCCGGTTTCTCCGATTTCACGGCCGGCCTGTTGGGGTGGAATCTTTACCTTTTCTTTTCCGCACACGTATGTGGCTGTGCTTAGCTTTCAAGAAAAGCCCACGCACTGCTCCAAAAGTGCAACCATGCAGCTCTCTTTCCTGAACACAGAATCCCCACAGGGGTGGAGGGAACCCCGCGGTCACCTAGACTGACCCACTGCCAATCTAGGAAATCCACTGCTGCCAGATTCTCTGGTGGGTTTGGGCCAACTCTCAGAATCCTTAGCCATCAACCAAGGCCAGCTGGGCTGGAGGGCACCAAGATCTGGAAGCCTGGCATAGGTGGGGGGCACTTCTCTCCACACCCCAGAACTGTTTCTCTGACCCCCAGAGCGAGACAGGGTTCCTGCAGTATCTAGACATCTCAGTGGGGAAGGAGGTGGGCACCATCTGCACCAAGGCAGGCCGGCTGGCGGCGATGGCCCAGAACCCCTCGAATGCCGTCATCCACCTGGGACACAGCAGCGGTGAGTCAGGCGGGCTTGCGCGAGCATCTCCCGGCCCTTGCCCGGGGCGCCCCTGCCCATTCCTCTCCCCATTCCTCTCCCCTCACCTCCCACTGCAGGAACAGTGACACTCTGGAGCCCCAGTGCCAAGGCACCGCTGGTCAGGATGCTATGCCACCGGGGGGCCGTGAGGGCCGTGGCGGTTGACACCTCTGGGAGGTGAGTGACTGGGTAGCCTGGGGGGCAGCCAAGGGCACGGGGCCAGGCACTGAGTGCGTAACAGGCTCTCCCATCTCCCACAGCTACATGGCCACTTCAGGACTGGATCACAAGCTGCATGTTTACGACCTCCGGGCGTATCGGCGCCTCCACTCCCTGCTGCTGCCCTGTGGGGCTGGGCTGCTGGATTTCAGCCAGCGGGGACTCCTGGGGGCCGCCTGCCAGGAGGTGGTCCAGGTGAGTGACGCGTCGTTGCGGCTGAGCCTCGGTCCCGGGTGGCCCTCCCACAGCCAAGGGCCCATGACTCGGCCCCCAAGGCCCTTCCCTTGTAAGATGCCACCCTCTCCCCCCAGGTGTACAAGGATGTCTCGGTCTGCCCGTCCCAGAAGCCCTACGTGTGCCACGCGCTGCCCAGCCCCTCCCACAGCCTGCGCTTCTGCCCCTTTGAGGACGTGCTGGGCGTGGGACACGGGCAGGGCTTTGCCAGCCTCCTCGTCCCAGGTAAGTGGGGCAGCGGCTGATTGCCCCATAGCCGTGGGGGAGGTGAGGATGGGCCACCATGTTTGTGGGGAGGGGCCACCTCCAACCCACCCACCCCACTTGCACTGCAGGTGCTGGGGAGCCAAACTTCGACGCCTTGGAGAACAACCCCTTCCGGAGCCGGAAGCAGAGGCAGGAGTGGGAGGTCAAAGCTTTCCTGGAGAAGGTGAGCCCCCAGGGACCCTCAGTGACAAGGCTGAGCCTGTGCCCTTGGCCATTCCAGCCCCCCTAGAAGAGCCGGGCCTCAGTGCCCATCATCCCCGTCTGCAGCTGGGTCAAGCCAGAGGCCCTGGGATTTGGGCTTCTCTTCCAGGCCCTCAGGGCATCTCCTGTGGCCATGGATCGCAGAGGGCGCTCTAGGGGGGCAGGAAGAGCCCCCCATTGCTTTTCCTCACAGCCCGTTCTTTTCCGCAGATCCCATCGGAGCTGATTTCCCTGGACCCCAGACAGCTGGGCCAGGTGGACACTGTTTCCCTGGAACAGCAGCACAAGGAGCGTGCAGAGAGGCTGGTATGTGTCCGGGGCCGGTGGGCACCGATGGCATGTCTCCAGTGTCTCTGGGCAGACAGAGCAGCGCCAGACATGGCTCTGCCAGCATCTGGGTTTGAGGACACTGAGTCCACACATCCCTCCCTCAGGGCTACGACCCCGAGGCCAAGGAGCCCTTCTCCCCTCGGCGGAGGCTGAAAGGCCGGGACTCGGCCAGCAGGCGGCTGAAGCGAAGGAAGGAGGTGGCAGCTGAGGAGCAGCGGGTAAGTCTCCTGAGGCTCCCGTTCCTCCCCCGCCCATGGCTCAGCCCCAGCTCCTTTTCTCCACGGCCACATTCTCACTGGATCCCAAGAATTCCCAGCCCTCCCAACCCTGCCAAGCCACACGTGGACACCAAGGGGGTTGCCAAATTTTAATTTTTGATGAGACAGAGCACAAGAAAGCGATTAAACTTGACTCAGGGGTAACCCTATTAACTGATTACCAAGTTGGTTGGGTCCTGGCTCCAGAGCCTAGAGCAGGGCCCTTGTCGGATGGCCCCCTCCTTCCCTATCACCCGGGCAAGGCAGTCCTCATGCAGGTGCGCGAGGCAGCTGGGATCAGCCCTGTTCTGGCTGTCTCAGTGGGGGAGACCCTCCTGGCCATGCTCACCCTGCTTCTGGGGCTCTCCCCACTTTCCCTGGGCTGAGTTTGGAGCCCTGCTCTGGGGAAAGCAACTCAGCCAGTCCCTGCTGGGCGGGGTGGGCAGGATGGCCCATTTCCTGCCCTTCACACACAGCCCACCCTCTGCATTGGTGTGGCTTGCTCGGGCATGGCTTGGCCCAGCGGGGATAGCCAGCTGCTGCGGGAAGGCCACCGTTGGGCTCAGCATGTCGGCCAAGGCTCTCCCTGCGCTGGGTCAGCCTTGGAGAGCTCATTCTGCTGGCAGATCCGACCCTGCCTGCTCCCGTTCACGCCCACCCGCCTTTCCCCCCAGGCCCTGATTCGGAAGAGCTTGGCTGCCAAGGCAGAGGCCCAGCCAGCCCCCTCCAAGGCTGGAGCCCCTGCAGCCTGCAGGTCAGCGCTGGATCGCTTCCAGAAATAGCGGGTGAAGAAGGCCGGCAGGGCTCCCAGGCGTCCCCACAGCGCGCAGGAGGATTGGGAGCTTTTCTGCCAGCCGAGCTGCCTGTACGGCCCAGCCCTGGCCTTGCGCTGGGGCACCTTCTGGTCCCATGGACCTTCCCTGAAATTCTCATGGTTTCTTTGGACTTGGAGTGCTGAGTAAATACACCGTGGTGATCTGTGGACGCCTTGTGCATGGGGCTTCTTCCTTTCAGCAGCACCTCCTGCAAGGCAGCCTCTCTGGTCCTGGGCTGCGGAAGGGGAGAGGCCTCTGCGGTGGGCGGAGAATGGGAGGGCATCCAAGACCCTCACCGTGGAGCGTTCCCAGCCAGGCCTGGGACGAGGGAGCCGAGCCTTCTCCGCCCCGGGCGGGGTAAAAGCCATCCCCAGTGGCGTTCTCAGATGTTCCGCTGGGGTGGGAGATCCTGCTGCTGTGGAGGTCTTGGCCCTCTCAGGGCTTGGCGGTTTTCTTGCAGACCAACTAGGGGACATCAGCTGGGCAAGGGAGTGTGGGGTGTGCTGCCTGTCTATATACTGTAGCTTCCCCTGCCAGTTTTGGGGGGGGGGGTCCAGTGTTAATCTGTCCTTAGGCCCTCCCTTCCCCAAGGGCTGCACACACACCCCACCCCCCAGGTGGAACTGGGCAACTGCAAAGATTCCTCTCCTGACCCGCGCGGCCCTCTGAAACCTGGCTCAGAGACCACAGTTGCCCCCTTCGCAACCACACCACGTTCTGGCTTGGCATGATGCCCAGATTCACTCCCAGGTCCGACAAGAGCCAAGCCCCATGCGCTGGACTTCAAGGGCCTGGCTGTGCCCAACCCCTTCAGGCTCCGCCAGGTAACCTGCAGGTTTGCACAGCCCTGCAGCTCTGTGGGACGGCCTCTCCCTCACCCGCCTGCGAACACCAGTCGCGCCACGAGGCCACCCGAGCTCTCGTTACAAAGGAGGATGTCCTCCCTATCGATAGTGAAAACCCCCGCCCCCCACAAAAACTAACCACGTTGGCAACCCAGCCAGGTGAAGACGTTTTGTTCTGACGGCCGTCATGCGGGACTGCGGCTGCGGACTGTGATCCGCCGGAGCGCTTGAAAAGGGGAGCCTCTCACCCCGCAGCCCGGAAAGGGAAGCCCGGCTTCTGGGAAGTCGGCAACGGTGTCCTCACGGAGTCCGTAGCGGCGCTTCCACGGGTCGCGGGAGACATCCATCGCCGCCTCT